TGAGGTGTGTGGACCTTAAGGTACATGTACTTTTTAAAGAATCGGGAGAATCATGACATCACATGGCGATTTACGGCATGGAATCGCCGGTTTTTTTTTAGAACCGGACGATTTTCGGTATTTCACTGGAATTGGATCGGGTCTGCTGGTTCTCGAGTCGAAATGGATGAGTCCGGTTTGACTCGCCGACTTTTGAATCACTGATTTCAAGTATTTGGTTCTATGTGCAAGCTGTGCAAACTCCATAAAGACTTTTACCATACAAAAGTCAGAAATTAAAGTGTGGGATTTGGGGAGAGATGTTTAATGAAAAAGAGAGAGAAGTGAGCATATGAGGATTCTGAATATAGAGCGACATATTTGAGGAATTGAAGAATAGAAAATAGTGTGTAGGTTAAAAGTCAGAACGGAAGATGAAGAGTAACAGTTGGGGTATATACTTTTTGCTTGCTTAGTTTCAATTCTACTGTTCTGCTGGTGTTGATTGGGTTTTGGTGTTATTCTTTTTGATAATGTTAACATTTGTATTGCTGAGAAAGGAAATTACAATATATTGTCTCTCCGTGTGAGCCCTCTAGACAGGACTCCCTGTAAAAAGAAGCGAAAACCCCTGTACAGTAATAGGATTTCCCCCCTAAGTACGATTTGCAAAAAGAGGCTAGGATAGGGCTTATAAAATTCCCCCCCCCCCCACCTTCAGATGTACAATGACAAGGAAAAATAAAAATGCCCAAAAAATTAGATGGGGGTTCACTGGTCCAAAGCAAAAAAAAAGGTGGACCCAGTTTGAACTGCCTCGCCCTGTCTTCTAGCACCATCCTTCACCAGCCGATCCGCGAAGTCGTTGGACGTCTGCCAGGTATGCTGCCATGAGATGTCCATAGCCCTGCAAATTTGTTGAACCTCGTCAAAAACTTGGATCAAGTACCGTGGAGGATCACATGTTCTACTAGCCCATGAGATGACATTCTTGGAATCACCTTCTACTATCAAGCTAGTGCCCCAGGAGGAGTTGAATTTTTTTAGAGCAAGGAGGAGGGCTAAGGCTTCCGCATAGTGAAAGTCCTTGATGCCGAGGTATTCGGAGAAGGTGAGGAGAATATTGCCTTCAAAGTCTCTGACAACTCCTCCTACCCCTGCTGGGCCGGGGTTCCCCAAGGAGCACCCATCAAAATTGAGTTTGATGCTACCTTGGTTCGGTGGTAACCATAGACTTGGCCTAGCTGCCCCTGCTGGCTGGTGATGAAGGATATTTCCCCACTGGGAAAGGAAGAAGGATTCTGGAATTCCGGTGAAGAACTTCGTGTTGGATGCCCAAAAGGTCACCAGGGTGGTTACCTTTTGAAAATGGCTGGAATTGAAAGCTTAGTCCCTCGAAAAATTATGGAGTTTCTTTCCATCCATACT